TTATATCTTATACCTATACCTACTATCTCATTGTACCTAAATTYACAATATTATAATAGTACAATAAATTGATTTAAGTAATTTTAACACCTGTATGCTAAATAAACATGATTACAATTATATTTTATATTTTTAATTTTATAATAATACTGTATTTTATTGGAGATCCATTCTATAGGTATTACTAAAAAATTAATAATAATAAATCGTTAATATAACCGTGGTAATAACTAAAAATAACGCCTTAATTTTTTTTTGTATACCGTCTGTAAAAAATAATTTAATACCATACGTATAATACTTTGTATAATACAGTTTTATACCACTGTATAATACAAACTCACATCTCTAGTTAGGTTAAATACAATTCAAATCACTATGCTTAATTATACAATATTATGCATTATGTAAAGAATAGTAATAGCAAGTAGATTACATTTGGTGACACACTGACACCATTAGCAAGTCACCAAAATTGYRCCTATTGATATATTACCATTAAAAAATATTATAAAGTTAATAATTTAAATAAAAACTTACTTGTGTTCCAAAGACATTCTTCTCCAGAAATTTCAATAATAAATTTYTCATTGTCAAACATTTCTTTTTTTAATGTATAGGTACAATTAATGTAATAATTGATTAATAATACTGAACAATATTCCTTTTTTAATACTTAACTCATACATTTACGATGTAGTTCGTGTTTATGAATGAATGATTCGATTGTAATTATCGTAAAATGTGGTTGTAGAAAAACGCGGTTGTAGAAAAACGCCGAGTGTTTTAGACGCGGCGCGCGGCGTTCGAACGCTTAAAATTAAACATCCGTCTACATATGGCCATATTCACACCAGGGGAAAAACCACGCGTCCGAACGCGTACGAACGCATCGAAACGCGCTGGTTTAATTTTGAGCATTTTGTACGCGGCAATATCTAAAATTAAACATAGTATTTTCCATGTTTTCATTCACATTGCGCGTTTTCGACGTCGCGTTTTGTAGCGTTTCAATGTTTTTATTCTATTCGTCAATGNTTGCGCGTTTTCGACGTCGCGTTTTGTAGCGTTTCAATGTTTTTATTCTATTCGTCAATGAATGATCACCACGACATTACACATAGGTACTGACCATATATTTTTCAGTTCAAACAAAATTTTTTTTAATTAGTAAAAAGACCTWGGTATATTAGGCAAAATGTTTGATACAGAACTCTTTATAATAGAAGTGAATAAGGARGAAAGTATTTGGAACATAAGTAAGTTTGTATAACATAAAACAATAATAAAAAATATATAAAATGATTCTTGTATGTTTTAATATTAATTATTTCATAGAATCAAAACTGTATCATGATCGTGTTGAGAAACATGTCAGCTGGAGAAGAGTAGGGAAAGCAATATTCAATGATTTTGAAAATCTTGCAGAAAAAGAAAAAGAAGCAAAAGTTAAGACATTAAAATAATAATACTTTGTTTTTAAATTATTTATTTCCATTACGGCTTTACAAACATCCAAACCTATATCGGCGTGAAAATAAAAAATGATTATTGGAGTAAATTCGACACCATTTAATAATTATAAATAATAAATATAAAACCAATTGCTTAAAAATTTATTGGATTACCTGTATTAATTGTGGGTCAACTTTCACATAATTATCATTTTAAATTCTGTTAAAATATGAGCGATATAAAAAGACTGTGTTATACAAAATAAAACCACATTATAAATAAAGGAAATTGGACATATAAAATGGACATGTTATTCAATAACTTTGTTTTGCCAACTTAATGAAAATTCTGGTTTGTTTAGATATTTTACAAAATATTCCCTAACATTTTTTGCTTCTAGTGGAGCATTTCCAACTCCTTTTTTTTCATTCWCATCTCCTAACGTACAGTTAACTGTATCTTCGATGTGAATTCCATCTCTACGATGCACAAAATTATGCAAGACGCAAGAGGCTTTGGTTATTAAAATAGCAAAATCCGGTTCAACTAAAATATTTGAATGAAATACTCTCCATTTATTTGATAATATACCAAACGTACATTCAATATGTTGTCTCGCTCTAGACAAACGGTAATTAAAAATACGTCGTTCATCATTTAAATTTCTCCCAGGAAACGGCCTCAATAAATGCTTGCTCAAAGCAAAAGCTTCGTCTCCGACTAACACAAACGRCTGAGGATCACCTTGTTAGTCTCCGGGCAATGTTTTTTCACACGGAAAGTTGACGCGGTCAGAATATAGTTTTTTACCAAAAGACGATTGTTTGAAAATATTACAATCGCTTTCTTTGCCATATGACCCGATGTCAATAACGCGAAAATAGTAATTTGAATCACAAATTCCCATGAGAATTATTGAGAAAAAATTCTTATAATTGTAATAAAGCGTTCCACTGTTTTGAGGACATTCAATTCTAATATGCTTGCCGTCTACAGCACCCACACAATTAGGAAATTGGCTTTTTTCGAAAYATCCAGCAGCAATATCTACCCATTGTTCCGTGGTAGGTGGTGCCATTTCAATTGGGTGTAATTGTGTCCAAATAATTTTACATGTCTCGCGAATCATTTTCGAAATGGACGAAACACCCATTAAAAATTCAAAGTGTAGAGCTGAAAAATTAGTCCCGGTTGCTAATTACCTAAATAAAAGAAAAATGTATACATTATTATTATCAGTCTTGTTAATTATTCGAATAAATATTTGAATATTATTTGTATTCGAACAATATACCTATTTTGAATAAAATTTAGATTTTGTATTCAAATACTCCTAACATTATTAAATTAAATTAATTATAGGTATTTATTATTTTTTATATTTTATTTATTAATTGTATAATAAAATCATACTATGTAAAAACTGTATCCAAAAAAAAAATTGTATACCAATGGCCATAGACGCCGAGGCTTAAATTAAATAAAAAAAAAAAATTTAGAATAGAAATAGAGATAGAATCATTATATTATTATATAAAAAACTATTCTGATCGAAAATGGTCAGTCTATAAAAATTTGATGATAATTTTATATTACAGAATACATAATTAAATTCATTATTCTTCCTTTTAAACTCTATTTAGTTAAGGCTTGACAATACTTCATAAGGTTTCTCATACTTAAGAACGCTACAACTGAAAAATTTTTAAATTTTCATTTGAATTAATTTTGTCAAAATTTGAACTTTAAACGGTTATAAAAAAAAGGTGCCTATGTATTTTTAATATTTTCCAACTGCTATTATATAAACGTATAAGGAACCTTGTATTAAATTTTCAAGTTTTTTGACCCAACGGATAAAATTTTATTGACATTTATAGAATAAAAAACTAAAAAGATTGAAAATTTCAAATGTCTATAAATTACTTAAAAAGATTTGAAATATTTTGAAAATTGTATTATGTATAGAAATGGCCAGTATAAAAATTCAGTGAAAATGTCATGTGTCTACGATAATTTGTTTTAGAGTTACACCAATATATTATAAAATCTATTTTCTCGAAAAATTATTTTGCGTAAAAATTCCCGTTTTTTCTTATTTTTATTTTTATTTTTGGTTTTTCCCGGTGCTTTTGAAAACTATTGGGAATTTCAAAATTTGAAACCAGAGCACTAACTAGATTCACTTTCCAACCGGAAAAGCTACTGAAGTTGAAAATCGAAGCATTATTTCGACAACTTATCATGTACACTGTACACGCAACACTGTAGAATCAATACATTCATTGCTCTGCTCAGAATCTGCAATAATTTGTGTTTTTATATTTATTAGATTTTTCGGTTACAGAATATTATCTTACTTATTCTGAAACCTTTTTTTMAATTTTTAATTTTTAGCTTTAAAAGGTGAATATCTTATCAATTTCTAACTACAATTTATTTTAGAATAAATTAATACAAGACTCCTAATATATTGTTACAACGGCAGTTAAAAAACCTTAAAAATACATAATCACGATTTTTTACRATTTTAAGTTCAAATTTTGACAAAATACGTAAAAATTACGAAAATTTGCAAATTATTTTGAGTGAGAAATTTATAAAAAAATTTTTAAAAACAAATTAAGATTTGAAAATTTCTATAAAATGTCTCAAAAGTATGTCTAATGGTATTAATACCATTCTAAAGTCACTCCACTCAGATTGTAAAAAATCGTATAAAATCATGAAAAAATATGTATATGTATCAATTTTCTTTCTATACTTAGCTTCTTATCATTCTATTATTATTGAAATATTACTGAAATTTCTGTTTTTACAGTTCTAGAACTGCAAAAAAAAATGTAAAAGACAATTTTCGTAGAAAATGTGTTTCAAAGTCTGGTATGGCTGCTAAAAGTTCAAAATGTTATACTTATGCTAAAGTATTAGAATTTTTGCGTCCGACAATGGAAAATAGAAAGTAATTAATTTAATGAAAARTAGTATTTAAATATTATAATTTTTTTTTTTTATAGGACTGAGAGTAATATTTCTAGTGAGTCAAGCAACGAAGAACTGAGTGACCAAGATAGTGAAAGAGAAGATGAAATATTGATGATTGGCTTGAATGAAAGTGAAGTAGATGTCCAATCTCCTTCAACCAGCAAAATGTATGTTAAAAAAAAAAATAAAAAAATAGAAAACTCCTTTGAATCAAGTGAGAATAATAATTTAAGAACCAAACGTCCTTACTCACCTACTATGACTACTTCCAATACGACCTGGTTCCAATGGCATCGCCAATTTACCACCACGGATCCGCAGCTATGGTCGATGGAACAGTCCGTCCGGTCCCGCACCTGCACGCTTTTCCAYGTAGACAGCACAAGGTGGTTGTAATTGGCAAAGGTGCCGAMAAATGGCGATGACACTGGATTTGCTGGATGTACCCCCAGGTACGCAGACAGACGACGAAGGCCAGTGGCCAGTGGCCCAACAACAACAAAACCAAACAAGGCACGCGACGGCGAACGAGCACAACTATGTGTCAAGATCGACCGCTCGGAGTGGAACACACAGACAAAGTCGTCGGGCGCCGGGCTGGCTGGCGGCACGGTCAGCAGCAGACAACAATGTCGTCGGGCGATGGGGGGGGGACTTGCTGGATGACACTTATCTCCGCCAGCTGTGGTGTCCGGGGCAAGTTTATGCTGTCGCACAACGTTCCGCGTCCGAACATCGGTTTCATTTGCATATTGCTGTCGGTCATGACGGTTTATTACTGAGAACCGCAAGAATAAGCGAAAAAAATCAATCTTATCCGTTCTAAAAAACACTTGTGAAATTGTATGTAAGTACCTAAATGTAATTTCTACGTTTTCGGATCCTCGAGTTAGATGTACCTATAAACGTATCTGAATTYTAAAATCTTATTCGTACGAATTGTACGGAGCAATAGCATATGAAATAATTTACACAGTTAAATGTCTGCGTGAATTTATTTAC